ATCTACCTAGCTCTTCTAACCATCACACTCTTGCTATGGCTCTAATAGCTCTGACCCCAGGGCAACTTTATTTATTAACATAAAATTAAAATCACATTTCAGTACAAATAAAATATCACCATAGTTCATTGTTCCTGCCTTTGTCTCTAGTTCTTTTCTGCACTTTGAGATTTCACTTGAGCATTTTATGGGTCCATAGTATATGTGAGACCCTCCCTAGTCTTAGCATTTTTCATCAGTTACCATAAAGTTTGCAATGTACTTTTATTGAGTACATTGTACACAGTGACATGTACAGATTCTACGATGATTGTAGCTGTTAATTTTTCCAAAAGGACAAAACAGCCTTCAAACAAGGTATTTTTTTTTTTACAAATAGAACATCAAAATGGATTAAGGGAAAATAGATGAAGGTAATTACCAGTCACTAAAGGAACAAACATTCAAATTTGGAAGTGTACTACTTCTCTCTCAGAATGGCTTAAGCTAATATATGTGACAAAGCCAAAAGCTCCTAAGGATGCTTTTGTTGTCCACCATAACTAGATGCTATTGCTAAAGACACTGCGCATCTTGGATGCAGGATATCAAGAATGGTTTCTAAAGACAGTCATGTTTGGTTCTATCATAGGTCTCTGGGCTGTCCATCTTCTGGGTCCTGGACCTCCAGGCATTGTCAGGGTGGGCTCCCTCTTATAGTATGAGTCTCAAGCTGGATCAGTCATTGGTTGGCCACTCCTATAATTTCTGTGCCACCTTTGTCCCAGCATATCTTTTTGTTTTGTTTGCAAAAGTTTCTTTAATTTCTTTCTGTAAATCATAAACTATTTGAGAAGAATTAGGGTGACCCAACAAATGCATCTTAACCTTATCCCAATCAAACTTGCTTTTATTAAATCTTAAGGATGTGATACAATAAGAAGAAACATTCAAATCACATTCTAATTTTATCTGCACCTTCAAAATTTCTAACTGATTCCCTAACAATACAACAGCTTGCCTTAACTCAATTCATTTACTGTCTCATTACCCGTCTGATTTTGTTCAGTCCAAACTTCTTCTGGATGTCCCAGCATATCTTGTACGCATGGCAAATTGTTGGTCAACGGTTATGTGGCTGGGTTCAGGTCCCAGTGCCTCCACTGGAAGTCTTGCCTGTTTAACCCCTTGGCATTCCTTTAAAGGTCCTTTGGCAGAGACAGTCAGGGCCTGACAGATTAGGATCCAGGCCCTCCTGAGGCTATTGTTTCTCCCTCTCCCTCTCTCTCTCTCTCTCTCTCTCTCTCTCTCTCTCTCTCTCTCTCTCTC